ACGTTCGAGAGCCTTCAATATTATCCCTGCCGATATTGTCTATAGCACATGTTGTATATACACATATGAATATATCTCTATCTACATATCTTCTACATATATTTAAATATCTATATATCTATACATCTATATATATCTATATATTAATATTTATATATGATTTTTTATAAATAAATAAACAAATAAAATATATATTTATATATACATATATTGCATATTGATTTTATAATGTACTTGCTCTTCTATGTTCATCATGTTGGAAGCTTCTCTTACTGGATCCAGCTTAGTAAGGCATGGCTCTTCAAGATGTCACGTGGCGAGTACCTGCGGACTCGTCCGGCCTCCGTACTTACCGCACTCGTGGCATTGTGCTTTAGGGTTTTAGGGCTTTAGGGTTTTAGGGTTTACAGGGTTTAGGGTTAGGGTTTAGTGCCTGCAGGATTTGACGTTTCGAATGTTGGGCATTTCTGTCAACTATGCCACGTGGAGCTTGGCTGGGTCCGCGAGGTTCAGAGATGGTCTCAAGGTCATTTAGCAGGACTAAGATGATCATGGACTCATATTGGTTCGAAGACGTTCAGCACTAGCCCCCGTCTGTTTGCAGCTTCCCGGCTCGCCAGAAAAGGGTTGGCCAACAGTAACAGGAGTTGCAGCACTTTGCATAGGAGAAAGCGGCTGGAGAGTGACGGTTTTCTATAAATGGCTGGCACTGAAGCTGCGAGCGAGCGATGATAGCGTGGTGGAAGTGTAGCAGTGCACTTGATGCGAGCTTCGGGCCATGCCACTGAGATGTCATCGTCCGCGGCTCAGCATCGCGGTTCAACGATGCTCGAAGTGCCCTGCTTCCTGGGATTCTTGTAAACACCGTCCCGGCTTGAGGCTGCAACGCGAAGCTGGGCTGGATTGGAGGCTCAGTGCTTCTGTCTCCATGCCCATATGCAGCTAATCCACCTGGCACTTCTGCTGCAGTCAGCGCCTTCGTGTTTGCACATGCCCTTTGTGTATCAGACCTGGCAACATGACCACCGATCTTTCTGCGGACTTTCATGTAAAGACTGTGGCATCATCTGACGATGCAGACAAGTCCCTTAGGAATTCTGGGGGACAATCTTTCATGTTAGGGCACTCTAATTCCTAAAAACCAGCTAAAATCTAGCATTTTTGCTAGGGTTCCTACTATTTGGGGGTCTATATTGGTCCCCTATGTTCCTGAACCCCGTAGTGGTATGAGCCACATCTGCAGGCTTCCGGGGCTTTGGCTTCTACGCCCGCGCGCACGAGCGGCGCTGCGCCGCCCGCCAGGCCCCCTCCAGCTCCGAGAAGGGTGTTAGAGCAAAATAGGTGGTACCCCTTTGTTCGTTTTTTTTTGTTTTCGTAGGGTTTAGGGTTTAGGGTTTAGGGTTTTATACCCCCAAATAGAAAAGGGACCCCCAAAAAAGGGTACCCCTATTTTCGGAAACCCCCCGACTTGTTTAACTGGCTCATGCTCGGGATGGAGTTGATTATCGAGCTTCGTTGCGCATATTCCGATGCGATCAGGTGGTATCGTGCACGGAAAGATGTGGTGCAGCGTAAACTGCTTGTACTGGGTCTCACTAGCAGAGATCCGAACATTATCGAATATTTTGTTCTTTCGGATTGACCGGTCGTCGAGGGCTTGCACATGCTCGAGTTGAGGGTAGCGACAATGACTCGCAACACTAGCGGACTTGACAGGTCCATCGGTTGATGCCTCATGTGGGGCGTTGCTGCCAAGTAGGGCATTGGGTTGCGATGTGGTCATTCAGAAGCTGTTTTCTTTGGTGTGCGGCGGGATGGCTCCTACATGCTCATGCGCAGTTGAAATTGAAAGCACAGGCAGACCGTTGCAGAAGCACATGGTTGGCAGCAGGTTATCATTGAGTGCCTATCCTTAGCCCCACGAGCGAAAACGTCGAGCCAGGGCGCATTCTGAGTCACTGCGTGGGTTGGGAGATCATCTGGCAATGTCGTCGGCAGAGTCCAGCCTTCCGGAAGCCTGTTGGGCAGCCTTCGTCATGGCTCTCCTGGAGCAGGCGACGTGCTGCTGCAGCACTAGCTCAAGTACTAGCTCCAAATGCACCTTCGTGACCGATCCGGTCAGACGATCCCTGTCAGGAAAGGCCACTTGAAGTGGAAGCAGAGGACTGCTGCGATCTCAGACTCTGGCCTAGCTGATGGTGCACCAGTTTTTTGCTTGCTGCCATGCTAGGTTGACATCCTGTCTGTCGTCCGCACACATGTATCCTCCAGACGGACAGCAGCGCTGCCCAGGCCAAAGCCATGCACTTGAAGCGGAAGACAAAGCTGATGAAGAAGCCGAAGAAGTTCCACCGACAGACGGTCCAGCTGCTACAGCAGAGGAGGACATGCCATGCTTGTTTGCCCACTTGCTTCCTTCATGTGCCTTGAGTCCGCCTCATCCGTTCTGTCCTGCACAAGGAGCCAGCGTCGGACACGGAAGCTGCAAAGGCGAAGAACAGCTGCTGGGCTGAGATTCGTGGAGCCATGGAGTTTGAGAGAAGTTAAGGGGTTTGGGGCTCAGAAAGGGTTTGGGAGGTCCATACCTGTAAATCTGTTGGTGTCGGCCCCACAAGGTCCCTTCGGCAAAGTTGCCGAGGAGCCGCTGACTTGCTTAAATCAACTTAAACCCTTCGAGAGCCGATTGCGTGCACCGTTTGATGTACTGGATATGCATCCGGCCAGAATGTTTTTTAAGAAGTAATGGTCAGGAAACAGTTAAAAGTGCAGGTAGGAATATGTATTGCGAGTTAGGCACACTGCCAGTCCATAACGAGCGAAGCTTGAAACAGCACCAAGTTGGTACAAGTGTTGTGACGTTCGGCATCACTTCTAGGGCACGCGGCCTGAGAACGCATGCATCACGGTGCATAGGGGTCGCCCGGTTGCACAGAGAAGGAACGCACAGTCCTAAGTACTCGTAGGTAATTGCAGGGTTCGAGGTGCTATATTTGTGCATGTCATGCTTCCATTTCTGCCTACCTCTGGCCTCTGGACTGGACCTGCCAAGAGTGTGTGTTTGGTTCAATATGCCGGCCGGCGGTTTCTTTGCGCCGCGACTGTGTCTCGTGAAGCAGTGTGTCTGGCCGGACATGGCTGCGTCTTGAGGGTTTTTCGGGCTTAGGGTTTAGGGTTTGGGGTACAGAGTATGACCATGCTGTCAGCCGGGGTCTTGGTGTATTTGCAGGGGGCCTTCTGGGTGGTATGGCAACAGCTCTTTCTTGACTTGTTTGGCACTGCACCTCGTGAAGGAAGGGTAACATTCTTTCGGATATTTTCACACGGTGCAAGTCCAGGGCATGTAAGGCAACGAGAGCACATGGAAGCTGTGAAAAGCACGATGTGACACGCGTGCTCATGCAAGTTTTTTCTGCCGGAATCTGGACATGGATGCCTTCTCAACCGACTGACCCTACAGGTCGCTGCCTCTCTTCTTCACGACATTTCACGATTCTTGGCAGGAGTCCTTCCTCTCGGAGACGACGGCACGAACGCGCATGAATGCCCCTCGCCCGCATATCACATGGAGGCAGAAGAGAGACTAGTTTCCCAGGGCGATGCTCATTGTCCTATTTCAGGAATTTCAGGGTTCAGAAACTCTGCCGCGTATCTGAGTATCTGCCGCGGAGATGCTTCCTACGGGATTCCAGGGCTGCTGTACGATACACATGGGGCAGTGCAGGGCGGTTAAACAGTGGTCTGGCCTGCTGAAAGCGCAGGAAACTCCCGGAGCTACCGATGCGGATCAGTCCTTCCAGACGGAGGGCATGAGCCGAGTAACAGGGCCTCAGCTCAGGAATTGCATGAAGTGCTTCAAGATTCTGGCTTGAGGTATGTTGAGCTTTTTTGAGGTTTTTTTGACTTCGCAACCGCACAGATGGTTGCCACCACGATTATTTCTCCTCCAGCATCTCAGGTACTCCTGAGCTCCTTCCCCGACGACGACTCCATCATGCAAACCCCACCCGTAACGCGGGATGGCCGGTTGAGCACTCCAGGCCCACCCCCTCCTCCTCCCCCCCCTTTCCCCCCCCAGCCTGAGGTCTTCAGGGCTGAGGGATTCCCAGCCCCACCATGACAAAGGAATCCTTCACACTGCAAGCGTGATGACGTGTGACGGTGCACCGCCTTTCAAGATTGGTAGAGAGTCCGGCGGCAGGCGGCGCATCCTATGCATCCATACCAGCCGCCGATCTCGCCAGACAGCACTTCGAGTGGGCACAAGAGCTCGAATCTGTGGCTGCTCGGCCGAAGTAGCCTCATGCTTGCTTTCAACCGTCATGGCTGCCTTGGGTGGAGCTGGGGTTTGGCGCTCATGCGCGCGCTGTCTGCAAGGACCAACGGCAAGCTGATCTCATGATGACTCAGTGGTGCCATGTCTGCAGCTTGGCAATCAAGACTTCTTAATGCAGCCAAAAGCCGGCAAAGGAAGCTGATCCGGAACCAAACGGGCATGCTGGCTCAACAGCTCGTGGAGCTACGCAAGGACACCGGAGCCCACTAGGGGGCAATTTGGCTTCGATTTCCATACTGATAATGCTTTTCGAGTCTGCAGTGCGAGTGCTGGTTAAGAATGTTTGTTTAGGAAATACCTCAGCCCCGGAAATTCTTAAGTAAGGAATTCTCAGCCAATACTCCGGCTTAAGTGGAAGGAATATAGCTCACAAGACAGCTTCCCCTGGCCAAATTTTCAGCGAAGTTTTTCCTCGGGCGAAATCTGATCGTGGACTTGAGTTGCGCAAATGAAGCGCAGGTACAATTACATCCTTACGAAGCAAGCACCCCAACCCCCCCCCCCCCGCCCCCCGGCACCCTTAGCCCGGAATTGGCATTCGGTGGACTTGGGTACCTGCAGCTTAAAAAGCTCGGATCAGATCATTCGTGCCTTTATTTTTCGGAAAGAGATGGCTGGCTTTGCGGGGATCTGCCTTCTGGGAGCCCTCACAAGTGTGGCAGGTGCCATGGCAAGGCCATCCCGGTCGGTTCTCTTATCCACGCTTCACCCGATCAGTCGGACAGGGTACGGAGGCCAGACCCAGATGCTCGTGGCGGAGCTCCAGCAGAGCTGGCACGTGCAGCTCCTTGCCTGGAACTTGCGCCACCGTGGCGAGCTTCCTGCAGAAGACCTCGAGGCGATGCTGAGGAGGCACAGCATGAGCCGATCAGATGCCCTGGCGCAGGCGGGAGGAGATCCGCGAGCACTTCTGTCGGGTGTTCCAGTGCTCACAACTCGGATTGCGCCGCCTACGGGGCACGAGACCGGCGAGGGGTGGCTGGAAGTTCTGAGGGCTGTAGACTTGCTGGAGGCTGCAGCGAAAAATTGCAGCGCAGCATGCCCGTTTCGGAAGCCGGATGTGATCTTGCATTTGCACGACGCCTGGTGGCTTGGGCCTGCACCGAGCCAGGTGAAACAAGCCGCCGCCAGCGAGCATCTTCCACCCCTCGTTGCTTGGCTGCCCATCCTCTTCGACCCTCTCTTAAGCGACGACCCGACACGGCCAGACAGATCGGGCAGCGCGCTAGAGCTCTTCTCAGGTGTGATCACCATGTCGGTGTGGGGCCGGGGTGTGTATGAGGCGGCCTTGGCTTCCTGGGCCAAGGAGCTGCAAAATGCCCAGGAGCGAGAGGCTAAGTCCTTTCAGGTCCGATGGTTGCCGCCCCACTTGGGATACGTTCCACACGCGTTGCACCCATCCTTCGCAGAAGGACCCCTGGCCTTTGAGAGCGACAGTCGGGGAAGGTTGCGGAGTGCTTTTGGATTGCCACAAAAGGCTTTTGTCGTGCTGATCGTGGGACGCAATCCGCCTCCCCCAAGCAGCGAAGCAAATCGCAAGTCTCATAAGGCAGGAATCCGGGCTTTCGCACGAGTGCGCTCACGCATCGCCGAGTTGTGTGGAGGGGAGGCCGTGCCTGAAGCCTGCGCTCGTACGTCCTTTGCCCACTTGCATCTGCATTGCGACGTGGATGGGTCGGTGGATATCCGAGCATTGCTAGCGGAAGTCGGCCTTAGCTTGAAGCCAGATGGGGGCGCGAGCAGCAGTCGTGAGAAGCTGTCTCAAGAGCAGCTCCGCAACCTTTACAGTGCAAGCGACGTCCTGCTGCAGCTCAGCCGCGCGGAAGGCTTTGGCCTTCCAGTCATTGAAGCGCAGGCCAGCGGAGCACCTGTGATCGTGAACGGGGCTACAGCCATGGCTGAGAACGTTGTGCTGGGAAAGGTTCTTCTCCCAACGCCACGGCAGGCCCCCAGTGGAGGCCGCGATGATCGGCCTGGGTCTTGGACACCTCCAGACAGCATTGCGGCGGCCGAGGCGCTTCTTGAGACCTGGGTGGCGCCACCTTCCCCCACGGAACGGAACAGTGCACGCATGGCTCTTCACAGCCATTTCGCTCAGTCCTCGGTCGGCCAGCGCATGAGCCAGCTGTTGGAGTCTGTCTTGCGGGATCCTTCAGCCAATGAAAGCCACTTGGCAAGTTCTAGCCTCACCCAGTCCAGCCAGCAGCCTGAAGCAGCAGACGTTGCAATTGAACCAGCGGTGGCCCAAGCAGCCTTCTGCAGCAAGGAGTTCCTGTTTGCAGAGGCATGCTGGCGAGAGGGAGTCCTTACTGACTGCACTCAAGGCGAGGAGGATCTGCGTGCCTGTTTTGTGAGGGATTGGCAAGAGCCCCAGCTTGCTGGCAAACACATGCCGCGGAACCGACTGGTCAGCACACGACAAGGCACGGCTTTTTCCTGAAACCTGTCGCAGGGTGAGGGAACCCATGACCTGAAAGCACGCAAAACACACGGACCCTGTGTCGAACTGTAGTGAGAGAATGAACTTGGAGAGTATGCCTGGCATAACTGGTATAACTACTGTACTTTTTACTTTTGAAGCAACTTTGAAGGGATGCTAGGCAAGGGGAGCCTAGCATCGCCACTGTGAAAGGCTGGCCAATGCTGTACAACATCTATGACATAGTGGTGGGTCGAATGCTTGAGGTTTGTGGCGCCTGGTTGGGCCATGAGGGTTTGCTTCATGGCATTCTTCTCCCCACGCACGGGAGGATACTGGAGGCTGGGGCGCACACTGGTGCGATGACGATCCCGCTGGCCTCACGCGTGGCTCACGGGCGCCTGCTTGCTTTAGAGCCTTCCAGGCTCAACTTGCAGCTGCTGACGGCCAACCTCGCCCTAGCACAGCTCCCCAACGTGGACACCCACCAAGCCGCCCTGGGCGCTGTGTCTGAAGGCACGGTCGTCGTGGAGGAGCCTGATGTGATGCCCTTTGCAGACTTCCGCCGCCTGAGCACAGGCAAAAGACATCGAAAGGTGCCGGTGGTCAGCGTGGACCAGGTTTTGGGGCCCTCGGTCGACCGCCTGGACTTGTTGAGGCTCGGCCTGGGCTCCATCGGGGAGGGACAGCAGCTTTCCGCGGCCGTTCAGGGCGCCAAGAGGTCGCTGGAGCGGTTCAAGCCTTGGGTTTTGCTGGAGCTGCCCTTGAAGCGGAACCCGGACGTCTTTGACATGGAGGTGCGTGGTGAGGAGGAGGCGGCCCTTCTGGACACCCTGGCGGGTTCGGGCTATGAATGCGTGCGCTGCGACAGGCCTTTGGGCACGATGCCTTCAGAGCTGACACGATCTGAGGCCAGTCAGAGGTGGGGTGGCTGCATGTCCGATCCCCGAGCCCAGCTGACCGCAAAAATGCTGCTTTGTGGCCATCGCTCTCGGACCACTGGGTCATCAGCGGATCCAGATCCCAAAGTGTGGATCCGAGCTGTGTCAACATGCGGGCCTTCGGCTCTCAAAATCGGCAGAGTCAGTGAAGGTGTGTTCTTGGGGTGCCTGGGATTCTTGCTAAGTGATGTCGATGTCGTCCAGGGTCGCCCCACTCTAAGTTCCCTACTTCCGGGATCAGTGAGCCCAGGGTTGGTGACACGGTAAGATTCTTGAGAGACCTTGAATGTGAGCTCGGGAGGGCATGTGGGTTTAACCATGACAAACACTGACCGAAAGCAAGTTTACAGAGGCCATGATGCAAGCAACGTTACACCTTCTGATCCAGTAGTCAATCAGGAGCTGGATTTGGTCAAGCACGAGCACCCCGGCTTTGCTTCATTCGGTGTACGTTCGCGGGCTTCGCCCCTGAAACGAACCTGCCAAGGCAGCATCAGTCCTCACAGCTCATGGAGCAGCAGCGCCGCGAGAGCAAGGACGTCCAGCAACGATTGGGCGCTACACTGCAGCAGAGCTTCTTGGCAGAATCTTCCCCATTATTCGCATTCTCCATGCATCATGCGCACGCAAGAGATAGTTAACAGCCGCCGACTGCAGCCGACCAGCTTTTTGATCTGCAGTCCATCGCATCTCATCCTAGGTGTTCAGGAGACACACATGAGCCTGGCCAGGATGCGAACAGAGGCACGGTGCTCCTAAACCCTAAACCCTAAACCACTCCTAAACCATAAACCGTGTAGCGACAGTCCACACAGTGTAAGCTGCACCATGGCAGGTGCAGAAGAAAGCATCGCAGGAGCCGCGGCACGTGCTCGGAAGTGCTTGCTGACAGTTCCTTGAAGCGCCTAGCTAAAGAAAGGGAATAAAGAAGTGCAAGAGCAAGCTTGCGCGTATGATGCCGTCCAGCATTGCTGGGGTCTTTTCACGTCCTTGCCCACAACACAATGTTCTCTAAGGTAGGCCCTTGAAACATTTTATATTTTTTCCCTTGTTGGGTTTAAGGGAGATCATATTCAGGAACATTTTCTAGAGGGCTTTAACGGGGCATCCCAGCTCTTGGTGGAGGAGTCCGACGCGCAGCGTCGCCTGCAGAGCCTGGAAGCCTGGGCAGCTCCCGCCGTCCGCAAGCTGGAGTGTGAGGCTGGGAACTGGGCCTTGGCAAGGGCGCCCCAGCCAAAGGCAACGCGTGTCTTTCATAGAGCTTGCAACTGCTGGAATGTAATGAGTATAATAGCATAGTGCGGTAGCAGCGGATCAAAGGCAGATCCTCACGTTAGAAAGATGATCTGGCAGCTCGAAGCAGGTGGCGGAGCTGCGAAGCATGACTGAATCCTGGCCGCAGAAACTTCGGAAAGCAGAGATAAGCCGAGCGTGCTTGGCAATCTTGAGCCCGAATGCAATGTGATCCATCGGGACCAGCAACATCTTCTATCGGCTTGGCTCGGCTTGACGACATGGAGTTTGCATGGGGTGCCTGACAGGATGTGAGCGTCAAGCAGGTTTGCCAGCTCAAGGATCAATTGTTGCATCTTCGGTGGCAATGATTTTTTGGGACCCGGTTCCTCTTGCAACATCTTGTGCCAGATGACATGGGCAGAAAGCATCGGTACGCATCGGTGCATGCAACCTGATCAACATTCCATGCCAACAGCTCTGAAACATGGACGTGATTCTGAGCTTCTCGATCGAGACGGCCAACCTATCGAGGCAGCAGGTTGATGAGTGGAAAAATGGCCATGCTGTTGTGATGGAGCACAGTCGGCCCCCCAGGTTTGCAGCGAGCTTGTGTACGTGCTATGGTGTCCTGTACTTGCTTCTGAGCGACCGCAAGCTGGCTTCCTGCGCTTGTAAAAGTGGCGCAAAAATTGCTGGACGAGGCACCAAGTGGCAAGATCGTGTGCGGAAAGGACTGCAAAGTATATAATTACTGATGTCAGCTGACTGGGCACCAGTAGTCTTCAGAGTTCTTAGAGTCACAGAGTAGAGAGGAGCATTTTGTGTGCTCCCTGCAGTACGGATTTGGTCCACAGCCCTATAAGCACTGTTCGGATTGTTCTTCAAGACTCGCGACAGGACTTCGAGCCCTCATGAATGCCCATGAGTGACCTGACAGCACCTCGTGATGTTTCCAAGGCTCCTGCCCGGATTGGAGAACTCGCCATGTTCCCATGATCTGATCGCAGGACCGTAGCTTTGCCGCAGTCGTATCAGCCCTTGGCGTGCATCACATGAGATCCTGAAGTTTGAAACTTCACCCTCAACATCCTGAAGCCCTCCCGAAACCTTCCCACCCTGACCCTAAACCCCCTAAGCCCCAAAAGCCCTAAAGTCGAACCTCCCCCCCACACGCCCAAAACTTCACCTCCACTCCAAACCCCCTGTGTCTTCAAGCACTTGACTGGTAAGCCAAGGAGCCATCGGAGCGAGGTCCAGGAGCTCCAGCAGTCCCTGCAGGAGAGCCAGAGTCAAAAGCACCAGAAAAATATAAATAAATAAATATATATATATATATAATCATAAATATAAATAAATAAATAAATATATATATATATACAGATCGCAATATATATCTATATATGTATAGATAGATCGCAATACTTTCAGATTGTTTAAGTTCGTTAAGGTCCATTCGCCAAGCGTATTTTCATAGGATTGAATCCGAAACGGTGGATCATGGTGGATCAATCAGGGAGGAAAGGACATCCATCCCATGTATATGAGTGCGTATATATGTATGTATACATATATAGTTCTACAGATTGCTGTTGTTGTTGCTGTACATTATGCATATTTATGTCTATACTGCGCGTGTACATATCTCTGCTTGCACCACCCCCCCCCCCCTTGCCCCCCAAGAAGGATCCGCGTTTTTAGCGTTGTCGATTTTTTTTTGTTGTTCTTTCTGTCGTTGTTGTTGGTCCTCCCTCTCCCTCTCCCTCTCCCTCTCCCTCTCCCTCTCCGTCCCCTCTCCTCGCCCCTCCTCTCTCCCCGCCCCTCCCCTCTCCACGCCCCTCCCTCTCTCCCTGCTCCTCCCTCTCTCTTCCCGCTCCTCCCTCGCTCCCCTCTCCGCTCGAAGATAGGTCTAAAAAGTAGCCCCCTATCATAGACGTCGATAGACCCTATAGAGACCCCTATGGTTTTGGGATAGGGTCCTATTCCCTGAGCCTTCCCCGTCCGTGGTGGGACCCTATACATAGGACCTGTCCGTTTATGCATAGACACCTATGCATAGGCCCTATGCCTTTTCCAATAGACCCCTATGCATAGACCCTATCCCTACCTATACCACCCCCCTATGCGGCATAGACCCCTGTCCATTTTTGATAGGCCCCTACCCCCCTGCGGATAGACCCTATCCACAAACCCATAGACCCCTATGGTAACAAATGTATCACTTGTGCTCGAGCGAGAGTTTAGGGTGTAGGGTTTTTGTAGGGTTTTGGGGGGGTTCAGAGTTTAGGGGTTTTTAGGGTTTAGGATTTCTTGTTCAGGCCTCAGAGCTTTTTAGGCTTTAGGGGTTTTCGGGTTTCGGGATTAGGGAGGGTTTCGGGTTTTTTGGGTTCTAGGGGGTTTTTTAGGGCTTACAGATTTTTAGGGTTTAGGGTTTTTTGGGGTTTAGGGTACAGGGATTCTTCCCCGCATGATGGGTTCGAAAAAGAATTAAGCGGGGGGGTTGGGGGGGGCGCAGCCCCCCCCCATTTGACACACACACTGCTCGCATGATGGGCTTGAAAAAACATGCCTCTGTTTAGGCTTTTAGGACTTAAAGATTCTTAGGGTTTGGGTTTTTTTTGGGGTTTAGGGTTTAGGGATTTTTACCCCCCCCCTTCCCATTTGCAAACACCACTCGCATGATGGGTTCGAAAAAGAATTAAGCGGGGGTTTGGGGGGGGGGCGCAACCCCCCCCCATTTGCACACAGAATGCTCGCATGATGGGCTTGAAAAAACATGCCTATGCTTAGGGTTTTTTTGGGTTTAGGGTTTTCGGGGTTTGAAGTTGAGGGTTTTTTAGGGTTTAGGGCAAGGGGTTCTAAGGGTGTAGGGCTTATAGGGTTCCGAGGTTTGTACGGTTTAGGGTTTAGGGTTTTTAGGGTTTAGGGTTTAGGGTTTAGGGTTTTCAGGGTTTAGGGCTTAGGGTTTTTTAAGGCTTGAGGGCTGAGGGGTTTTTAGGGTTTAGGGTTCTTAAGGGTTTAGGGCTTAGGAATTTTTTCTGGGCATAAGGCTGGGTTTAGGGTTTAGGGTTTAGGGTTTAGGGTTTAGGGTTTAGGGTTTCGGGTTTAGGGTTTAGGGTTTAGGGTCTAGGGTTTAGGGCTTATTGAGTTTCGGGGTTTTTATGGTTTAGGGTTGTTTAGGGTTTAGGGTTTAGGGTTTAGGGTTCAGGGTTCAGGGTTTAGGGTTTAGGGTTTAGGGACAGGTTTTTAGGGTTTAGGGCTGGATTTAGGGTTTACGGTTTTTTAGGGATTAGGGTTTCTTAGGGGTTCTTTAGGGTTTAGGTTTTTTTGGGTTTAGGGCTGGATTTAGGGTTCAGGGTTTTTAGGGATTAGGGTTTATTTTTGGGTTTCGGGTCCCATTTGCAAACACCACTCGCATGATGGGTTCGAAAAAGAATTAAGCGGGGGGGTTGGGGGGGGGGCGCAACCCCCCCCCCATTTGCACACAGAATGCTCGCATGATGGGCTTGAAAAAACATGCCTATGCTTAGGGTTTTTTAGGGTTTAGGGTTTTCGGGGTTTGAAGTTGAGGGTTTTTTAGGGTTTAGGGCAAGGGGTTCTTAGGGTGTAGGGCTTATAGGGTTCCGAGGTTTGTACGGTTTAGGATTTAGGGTTTTTAGGGTTTAGGGTTTAGGGTTTTCAGGGTTTAGGGCTTAGGGTTTTTTAAGGCTTGAGGGCTGAGGGGTTTTTAGGGTTTAGGGTTCTTAAGGGTTTAGGGCTTAAGGATTTTTTCTGGGCATAAGGCTGGGTTTAGGGTTTAGGGTTTAGGGTTTCGGGTTAAGGGTTAAGGGTTAAGGGTTAAGGGTTAAGGGTTTAGGGTCTAGGGTTTAGGGTTTAGGGCTCATTGGGTTTCGGGGTTTTTATGGTTTAGGGTTGTTTAGGGTTTAGGGTTTAGGGTTTAGGGACAGGTTTTTAGGGTTTAGGGCTGGATTTAGGGTTTACGGTTTTTTTTGGGATTAGGGTTTCTTAGGGGTTCTTTAGGGTTTAGGTTTTTTTGGGTTTAGGGCTGGATTTAGGGTTTAGGGTTTTTAGGGTTTAGGGTTTCTGTTTGGGTTTCGGGATTAGGGTTTTTTAGGGCTCAGGCTTAGGGCTTAGGGTTTAGGGTGTAGGGACTCAGGGCTTAGGGTATAGTTGTGAGGCGACGAAGGAAGGGACGGATAGGGCCCTATCGGAAAGGGATAGGGGTCTATGCCACGGATAGGGGTCTAGGTCCGGGCGACAGCCCCCTATATATAGACCCCTATCCTTTCCGGACAGGGGCCTATGCATAGGTACCTATCCACATCGGGGAGACCCCTGGGGATAGGGGTCTATCGCCTGGGGGTAGGGGGGTACGGATAGGGACCTATCCTGATTGCGATAGACCCCTATCCAATAGGTACCTATCCAAAACAGATAGGCGGCTACTTTTTGAACTCATACTCCTCCGCTCCTCCCTCTCTCCGCTCCTCCCCCTCCCCCCGCCTCTCCCTCTCTCCCTCTCTCCCTCTCTCCCTTTCTCCCTCTCTCCCTCTCTCCCTCTCTCCCTTTTTTTGTCTCTCTCTCTCTCTCTCTCTCTCTCTCTCTCTCTCTCTCTCTATCTCTCTCTCTCTCTATCTCTCTCTCTCGCTCTCGCTCTCGAGACTCTATACAAGTATACATACGTGCATATGTATATATAAATATAAATAAATAAATAAATAAAAATAAATAAATAAATATATATATATATTCATATATATATATATATATTTCACATGAGTTGTGACAGAGCCGTGAGATGTGCAAGTGCCTCCCCCGAAAGCAGGACACCTTCGACCAGAAGCTCCAGGCCAAGTTGGGTGAGGCGGGCCCCCCCCGCTTGCCTCATAGGGTTGTTAAGGGGGGGGGGGGTTCAAGGGGGTAGGTAACCCAACGTTCCCTAATCCCTAAGCTTCCCTAGGGTTCCCTAGGTCCCTAGGTACCTAACCCCCCTGGAACCCCCCTCCCTTAAGAACCCTAGAAGTGCGCGCTGGAAGCCCTTAACAGAGAACCTTTGGGATGTTCCCCCTTATACTAGCTAGTACCCCCTACTCGAATTGTAGTCCCTATTAAGGACGGTTAGTGCAAGGGGGAACGTCCCAAGATAACCCCTTAATCAAACCCCCAAAACCAGGCAGATGTCAGAAAAAAGACCTAAACCCGAAACGCTGAACCCCCCTATCTGGGTCGTTTTGGTTTGTTGTGAGGATGGGTGTGCCATGCCTGCTAAGTTGAAGCGTGTACAGGGGAAAGCTGCCGTGCAATGAGAACGCCCTTGTGGACACGGATCGTGGGCTCTCTTTCGTTGTTTGAAGTCAACTGCACACACAGCCTAGAGAGAGGCCGAATGAAACACGGTCGCTTTGCAGAAGCTGCGACTATAGTGTTGGCAATGTTCCGGGCTACTGTACAAATGATAGGGCTAGGTACGCGTTGCCTGCTTTAGCGGAGTACCAGGGTGACGTCCTCTGGATGCATGACTGAAATGGTCAGGCCTGCAGGTCTTTGGTGGTCGGCGAATCGCCATGTCAGCACGGCACGGCCACTTCAAGTACAGCCACACTCCAATCCAACATGTATGTTTCCGTTCTTCCATTCCTTTGCTGACATTGTCGGATACAGTGTGCCTGCGACGGTGCTAGGCAGGTGGCAAACAAAGCCTTTGTAAGAACAGGAACCCCCAAAAGCACTTCAACTGAAGCATGTTCCCAAGGACTTTTGAGCACTCCGGGGCTTGCATCGGTTTTTCTCGACGCTTGTAGTCGCTTCGCCTGAGGAGATGTCAATTCCTAGGGAGTAGATTCTTCCTTACAACGGGAATATAGGGATTATTGTTCCCCACCTTCGGTGTGGGGTTATTAGATTTTAAACTCAACTCTGCTCCTCGCCCGGAACTCTTCGCCTTGCCCGTCTACTCCTCGCTCGTCCCTGGAGTGCCCAGCCCCAAAGTGTCCCTGGAGTGCCCAACTCTAGAGTGTCCCTGGAGTGCCCAACCCCAGAGTCTGCCGTGCCCAACCCCAGAGTCTCCCCAGAGTGCCCAACCCAGAGTGTCTGCCCAACCCCAGACTCCCTGGAGTGCCCAACCCAGAGTCTCCCTGGAGTGCCCAACTCAGATCAGAGTCTCCCTGGAGTGCCCAATCCCAGAGTGTTGCCCAACCCCAGAGTATCTCTCCAAGTGGGGACGTTCGAAGTAAAATATTTTTTTGCTTTTTGGGGGTTCTTGAGCAAATAGATTCCAGTTTTTCCAGAGGGGTTGGGATTCATCGTCTTGGCAGGTGCAGCGTCGCTTGGACGAGTGTGGCGCGCACAAGGACTCCAGTGGCTGGCGCGAGAAGGGAGAAGGGAAACCGAAACGGGATCACGCATGCATCTGCATGACATTCAAGCGCAAGAACCTCATGTTTTGAGAGCATGCCCCTGCAGCATAACTTGCTGAAAGTGTCAGCTGTCATATCGGTATGCATGCTTGGGGTGCGGTTCCTACAGAGTCCTAATTAAACCCTAAACCCTAAACAGAGGTTTCTGCATGCCAGGACAGCCATCAGGACATCCAGAATCGACTAAACGACTTCGAGGCGACACTCGACGCCACGCTGGAGAGCCACGCAAAAGGCCTGGGGACCTGCCCGGCCTTTTCTACTATTTGCTTAAGAACCCCCAAAACAAAAACAGATAAGAATCCCTATATTACCCTTACAAAAGTTGTTTTTTGTTTTTTTGCGCGGGGGGGGGGGGGGTCTTAAGCAATTAGTATTCTTTAGGGCAGCTTTCAGAAGCTCAGGGCTTCTGACTGCTGTTCAGGAGCGATCGTGTGGAGGATTTTTCTGCTCTCGCGAGCAAGGAACTACACTAGGTCAACCGCGACCTTCTCGGCATCCGCTTTGATTGAAACTTATGGGATGTTATGCTGCGAGTAGGTTAGTGATAGGCGTCGCATAAACCTAGCCTTCATGTTGCTCTCCATGTGGGTTTTGGGTTTCGTGTGACTCTGGCAGGGAGGTCTCTACATTAGGGTCCCCTTTTGGGTCCCTATCATACGGCACCTCACAGACACCCATCAGAAGCGACCCACATGTCGAGAACAACCCATGTGCAATGTCCTGGCAGGCATGGAGCGCAAATTCTTGGACATGGAGTCCCGGTTCCAGGTGCGAATCTAAACCATAAACCCTAGACCCTAAACCCTAAACCCTAAACCCTAAACCTGGTCAATCGCCTCCTAAGCAAGCACTTCGAAGACCCTGGGAAGCTTTTAAGGGACCTGCTGCCGCGGTTTCGTGTCCATGCTTGGAGGTTCATGGTACTTATTTAACCAATTAGAACTATACTTATAACCCACTTCATAAGCCCCCTAAATGCCCTAATATGGTTTTAAGTACAATTATCAGTACAGTTATCATTGGTTAATAAGTTACTAGGTACCATGACCCTCCAAGTGGTGATTCAGGACCTCGAGAACACTGACAAGCTGATCAAGGTCAGCCTGAACCAGGACAGCAGTGGCCGCCCTGTGGACTAATGGCGGTTTAGGGTTTAGGGTTTAGGGTTTAGGGTTTAGGGTTTAGGGGTGAGCTGAACAACACTCCTGAGTCCTTGTGTGGAGGAGATCGCGGCACGACATTCCATGGTGGAGGCTCGTGCCACTGAGCATGTCTTTGATTCTTTGATCTTCAAAATTCAGCCTATATATATATATATATATAGATATATTTATATACTGAATGACCAGCCCGAGAACCTCGGCAGGTCTTTGACCAGATGCTGAAGACGGAAGCCTCCAAAATCGCAACTTCAGCGCATGCCTTGGAGCGCATTCACAATGTTGAATGAGTTATCCCTTCACATCGAGACAGCGAGGTCAGTGAGCAGGTGGCAGTGAGCCACCTAGACTGGAAGGAGAGCCAGAAAGCCATGCTGGAGCACTTGAGCAAGGAGCCTGGGTTGTGCACGCTCGAAGGCTTAAGTCATGCGCCATCTACGTATTCACAAGGTTGGAGGGCAGAAAGCTTGTTTCAGAAGGTTGAGGTTTGAGGACCAACTCCGCAAATAGCAAGGCTCTCCGCACTGGGACGCCAGCTGAATTTGGTGCTTCCGCAGAAAAGAAATCGAGCATGTTTCTAATGCTCCCTTGTGGTACCTGTGGACCAGAAGTGTGTAATGACTTCCTCCTGTTATTGCAGTACGCACACCCCCCCCCCCCCGCGCCTAATACAATAAAGTCTTCCGACCCATCGAGGGTGCTCCGGAATGGCTCGGAAAAGTTTAGGGTTTAGTGTCAAGCGGGGCGGGAACAACAAAGCTTGTGGCAAAAGGGTTTGGGTTTCAGGGTTCAGGGACCTTAAGTGCAAGTTAGATGTTAACAACTTTCCCAGCAGCAACCTCTTAGAAGCCTGGATGCAGCAAGGGACCTAAACCCTAAACCCTCCTTAAGTACTCCAAGGAAGTACAGTTATAGGTACAGTTATAATTGACTGATGAGTACCATGAACCTCCAAGCAGTCAAGCCCAAACCTTGCCGACAACTTGGGGAAGCGCCTGCCGAGTGGCAGAAGCGCGAGAGGAGAGCACGGCAGACAAATCCACCTGCCCAGCTCCCTTATGATGGTCCCAACTTTCCCCCTCTCAGACAGGAACCCTGACATGTAGTGTTGCCCCCATAAGGCACCACACTTTCGAGAAACGCCCGTCCTCCAACGCGTCGTCAGGAGACCAGCGACAGGCAGGAGCAGGCCCGAGCCATCAACCAAGACCTACAAAGCTTGGCCGGCGGCGGGGGTCTCAGCCGACACCGCCTCGTCTCAGTCGTAGCGAAAGACCTGGCTCAAATCCGAAGCGCTCTGCACATATTTGTTTGTACATATATGTATAGATGTTTATGTTTGTGTGTATGTGTGTGTGAACCCGCAGAAAACGAGTGCCCGAGAAGTACACACGCGCTCCACATCAAGATACGAGAGGAATGTTTGTGAGCATGCGTGCAGCTGCTGGCATCCTGTACGGAAGTGACATAGTCGGATGCACATGACAAGCTTGATGATTCCAACCAGGCTTTACAAGCAGGACTATCCACATGATTTATCTGGGTACAGCCTGCCCTGCCACTGCATGAACGGACACGCCTGTATAGGTGCTTTCTCTTGAACAAACCCATGTCCCAAAACATCGGGCCTGAACAATGTCTGCCATAGTCTGCTTGAACTTTTGGATTTGTTCTCTGTACAGAATGTGATGTCTCTTGCGTTTACATGGGAATGTTCAATGCATCTTTTGTTTGTATTAAAGTGTGGGTTTGCTCCGTTACCTCACAGAATGTTTCCTGAAGGAAAGGTGCGATCTTGTGTCTCTCTGTGTGTCTGTGTGTGTTTCACAGGGGCTTTCCATGTAACTGTCGTACTGTATGAGTTGTTGGCAGGGAGTAGGGCGAGGGGCATTTGACTTGCATCGACAGACCACAGAAACATGCAAACGCTTGCAACCGTGATCTCTATTAGGAAGAAAGCATCCCGAAATTGCTGCCCTGCAGTGTGGTTTAGGGTTTAGGGTTTGGGGTTTGGGGTTTAGGGTTTAGGGTCTGGGGTGTTTTTTGCCACCCGCCCAGCACTCACGCACACCGCGGGGACTACTTCAGAGGGTCCACTCTGAACAACTGGTTTCGACTCTCACGCTCGCACACGGCCGGTTGGTTGGTCAATGTCTCACCAACTGGTTTAGGGTTTGGGTTTAGGGTCCTCATGCGCTCAGCAAGGCGATTATTACATACCATGCTCTATGTAGCCTCCACACATGAGAGCTGGTACTCGTGTAAGTTTGGCAGAAGAGTGCTCGATGGTTTGATGAACTATGACCGCGAAGGCCCGCCCAGTTGTGGGGAAACAGTCGGGGTTTGGTTCTTGATTCCGCTCCCGAAGCAGACCGCCGAAGAACACATGAAACCCAGGCTCTTGGATACTTGTATGTCTGCACACCTATTTATGTTTCGGACGCCTTCTTTAAACCACACGCACTATGCACGCAGCACGCGTCCACTGCCACAAGAAAACGGCACGCTTAACCCCCTGCAGCCAGAAAAAATGCCTGTGGATGATAGCTACATGAATGGAGCAACTAAACCTATGAATCAACACATACGTCAGAAACCCGATCATCAGCCAGACACACACGCACGCACGCACGCACGCACGCACGCACGCACGCACGCACGCACGCACGCACGCACGCACGCACGCGCGCGCGCACGCGCGCGCGCGCACACACACACACACACACACCCTGGGATGATAGTGCCGGCCGCTTGTCAGCACTGACCACTTGTGCTACGCATTGAAGCAAGACTCAGGACGAAGCGTTTTGGGACAGCCAGTGCTTAAGAACCCCACAAAAAATCTAAATATTCTTCCTTATAAGGGCAATATAGGGATTATTTAGGTTTTTTTTTGGAGGTTCTGAAGCAAATAGTAGTTATAGGGACAGCACGGCACTTCAGGGCTTCCAGTGACAGTTTCCCGCCGAAGCTCACAATACGTGCAGCGGTCCCGAAACAAAACCTGAGAAGGCCTCATGTTCAGGAACCAGCATGGCCCGGGTTTAGGGTTTAGGGTTTAGGGTTTAGGGTTTAGGGTTTAGGAGGGTTTAGCCCAATGGATTCGCACTCCAGAGATAGTCGGCAGGAGCGTCAGGAGACGGGTCAAGGAGTGCGGGTGAGGAGAATGGCGGACTAAGCATCTAGCAGCCCCCTAGCGCCGGCGGGGGAAAAGCCGAAACTGTGGAAGACTATTCTCCGGACCCAGAGGACTGGTGCCCGGAGCTTTTGTTTTTTGTTTGCTGCTTTGGCCTGCGCTGCGTAGTAGGAGGAAGTCATTTTCCTAGTCGAAAGTGCTCGGCTCTCACAAAGACAAACCCCGAAAACAGCACGCATGTCCCTCAAAAGAATCCCAAACCCAGCAAAAGAATGGAAGACTACCCTCTGGACCCAGGGCTAGTGCCCTGACTATTTGTTTTTATTGGCTGTTTGTTTGTTCAACCTTTTGTGGATTGTATTCGAACAAATCCCACCGGGGCCGCAAGTCCTCCGAATCCAAAATGTTCTTTCCGATTGCTACTGCTACTAAGCAGGCGCGTTTCTCCACGATAAAAGCACATAAGGGTACACTTTTTTGGAAACCTTCTGGCAACAGGACATTTTCTGAACCACCGGCAGAACGAAACTTCCGCCGCAAGCGCATGAGAAAATGCAATGCCCTCCGAGCATACCCGACCCGAAGCTTTAGGCATTGCGGTCTTCCTAATTTCTTGCCACCTGCCCAGGAGACGAGCCCTATACCCTAAACCCTAAACGCTTAGGGTTGCGCAAGCAAAGCTAAGAGGCCTGGGCGAGCGCCTGGGGCGCCTTGAAGGAGCCTGGCACACCGTGCGACAGGCTCGCAAGCTGGGGTTTAAGGTTTAGGGTTTAGGGTTTAGGGTTTAGAAAACATGTGGGTGGTTGTCAAAAATGTGGGGGGTTAATGGTTTGGGGTTTAGGGAAAAAGGGTTTAGAGTTTAGGGTTGGGGTTTAGGGTTTAGGGTTGAATGTGGGGGGTTGGTACTGTAGGGTTCCCTTAGAATAAGCTACCCCCCTAATATAGTCCTCAAATAGTAGGATTCCCTGATAATAGGGACCCCAAATAAGGTACCCTGAATTACTGGAAACCTCCAAGTGGAGCTCCTACCCTAAACCCTAAACCCTAAACCCTAAACCCTAAACCCTAAACCCTAAACCCTAAACCCTAAACCCTTTGAGTGCGCGCCACGCAAGCGTCCACAGACCAGAAAAGCCCTGCAGAGGACTGGCGGGAGGCGAAAGGCAACGTCCGTGCGCTGCAGGGACAGCTGCAGGAGAGCTTGGTAGGGTTTAGGGTTTAGGGTTTAGGGTTTAGGGTTTAGGGTTTAGGGTTTAGGGTTTAGGGTTTAGTGTTAGGGTTTAGGGCTAAGGTTTTAGGGTTCAGAAGGGTTTGCGCGATGTTTCGTGAGAGTCGAAACCCCTGCATCATGACATGCACGTCGGGCCCTTGGGTGCAACCCTGAAGTGTTGAGCTGATGAGTCGACTCCTTTGTGGGAGTCTGGGAGGTGGTGTCCGAGCTTCCGTTCACCTTGCAATGGCTGAATAAGTCTACTATGAACCCTTACGGCTCGAGACCTGCTGCATCGGTTGGATGCTTAGTAGGTTTATTGGGCTTTGAGCCTTCCTTTTAACACTATCCGCCATGACTGCTGCGTACCTCTAACGCAGCCAACAATGAAGCAATATCAGCTGCTGCTCAGCCTGAGCCTTTTCTTCAGGCAGGCAGCAGCTGCCAAGGTTCGGACCTTCACACCGAATCACGACGAGATCAAAAACGACCCCAAGCGACTGTTTACCACCATTCCAGATGGCGCCTGCATCGGGAAGCCATTCACGGAGTACCCGGAGCAGGGCTGCAACGGGTGGAAAGATCTCACGCAAGAGCAGTGTCAGCAGAAGTGTGCCGACCATTGGGCGCCCGATGCTTGCGTCGAGGAGCGCTGCCATGCAGCGGTCTACTACCCCGCCAGCGGCCTGTGCCATCTCTACATGGCGCCGGAGTGTGTAGATCTGATCCCGGCAAAGGGTGCTGTCACTCTGCTTGACGAGAGCGAGATCAAGAAGTTCCGCAAGGAGGAGACGCAGGAGTCCGAGGTCGAAGCAGAGGAGGCTGCAGCGGAGCAAACTCATCCCAACCCATACAAGGAGCTTGGGACCGCGCTGCCCACTTGTCTCGTGAACCTCTCGAATTACTCGGGCCTCGTCAGCGACGGAGACAAGGCAGCGAACGTGAGCCACAAGTTTGGCGAGATCAACTCGGATCTGGAGCTACTTTTTGACAAGGTGAAAGGGTTCTACTTGGTGCTGCATGAGCTGATGAATGCAGATGACGGCCCGAAGTTTTGCCCTTTCCGTTCAGAGCGCTCCATTAAGCGGTGCATCTCGATCGCGACCTGCCTCTTGCAGGGGGCGGTTGGCAAAGATGTGCCAATGTCTGCCTACGCATCCATGATGGAGCAGGTGACTCGCTTCGACGACATCACCTGGCCTACGCTCATGGCCAAGCTGGGGCAGGAAGACAAGAATCATACCGTGATAGGTGAGGACGAAATGCCACAAGAGTACCGCTGCGATGATGTGGAAGTGGTCAACCCAGCTGCGAATGTTCGCAAGACAACGCTCCTTCAGATGGAGGTACACCATGCTCAGGGCTCCGGTACCGAAGCACTTTTGGCTACGTCTGCTGCTTTTCGGCAGGCCGCAGCTGAAACGCACCGCATCCTGGACTCCCATGGCCTGAATACTTCCATGGAGCTCACCGCACATCACCTCCATCAGGCATGGCATCCAGTGTGTCGGCAGCTGGACTGCGACGCCTCCAACATGCATGATATCTTCGTAGCTTCCCACAAGCAGACGATGGCCCTCTTCCAAACGAACGCAGTGGCGCACATGCAGCATGAGATCCGACACCGCGTGAAGATGGACCAAAGGGTGCAGCGTTTCATTGCCGAGCACGGGCATGGAGGTCAGGTCTCTTTCTTCCGGCCCAGCCAGACATCCTCGGAACATGCTGCTAGGGTCTACGGTGAGAAGGGCCGGGATGGTGTCATTTCCGTCGTGCTGCCGACACTGGCACATCTAGTTGATCATGACGAGAGCCGAGCGCTACGCCTCATCGACATGGTGGAGTTTGAGAAGTTCCGCCAGCAGGAATACGAGGTTGAGGGGGAACAGGAGGACGATATGGATACCGATGAAGGCTCGCTTCAGGAGGAGCCGGAGGCGCTCCTTGAAGAGAATGAGGAGGACGAGAAAGAGGAGCACCAGGAGGACGAAGACGAAGAAGAGCCAGGTGATAGCGAGCTGGCCCCGGAAGATGAGGAGGACGAGGAGCCCGAGAGCATGCGCCGCAATTCCACCAAGCTCGCCTTGATGCAGACGTCTGGTGAGCTTCAGGAAGCTGAGATGGAAGGAGAAGTGGAGCAGAGTGGCTGGGGCCGACGGCGACGGCGCAGGAGGCGCCGCAGACGCAGACGCCGCAGAAGGCGTTGGCTTCGTCGACGCAGACGTCGCTGGTTCAGGAAGGTCTGGAATGCTGTGAAAAGTGCTGTTGTGAAATGGGCGAAGAAGTTCTTTGAATGCTTCGGCCAGTACTCCAGCTGGGACGCTGTGGGCTACACCAAATCCTTTGGCGGCAACGTCGGTCTGAGTCTTGGCTTCTCCGCCGGACACAGCGGCAGCATATCGGACCTGATCAAGGGCCATCTGTTCACCGGTGGCTGGGTCAGCATCTCCTTCGGCATGAGTGTTGGCACTGCTGGTGAATGGTGGTGGGGCGGTGTCGGCGTCAGCGGCAGTGTTTCTTGCAGCACAGGGGCAACCTGCCGGTTGGGCGTGTCCGTGGGCGCGATTGGCTGCGGTTGGTGGGATGTCGGCATCAACCCGGTGTGCCCATTCGATCTCTCGAATTTGGGCGTGAAGTGCCAGCAGTCCAAGGGTGGCACCTTCTTGGTCACCTGCTGTGGCGTGGACTTGGTGACCGGCAAGAATGACTGCAGATGAGAATCGTGAGAAAGTTCATGATCTTGCGCCCTCTTGTACAGCCGGGCATGTGTACACCTTCACGGGTGCACGGGTGTAGAATTGTCCATTGGCGTCGCGAGCCAGATGAGACCTGTGCTCCAAGCAGAGGCCTTCTTGTGCTGAACAAGGAGTTTAGGGGAAGTTCTGAGCCGCTTCCTCAGCCGGTTTAGGGTTTAGGGTTTAGGGTTTAGGGTTTAGGGACCTGCAGCTTTACGCTGCAGACCATGGGCATGTCCGAGTTCTGAGCGACTGAACCCCTGGAGGCCAGCGGCCAACCTAGACTTTGTACACCCTACACTGATTGTACATGATATATATATATATATATATATATTTATTTATAGAATCTACATTCTACGATGATTGTACATGGTGTATATATGTATACATAATCGTATATATCTATATTTATATTTATATGTATATATACATGTACATATACATACATACGCACACACACATATATATATATATATACGTTTCAGATTCTATAACTGTGCAATATTTGCACGAGAAAAGGGGGGTTGTTTTCTCCTCGCCCCCCTCCCCCTGGACGCGCCGCGCAGGAGGTGGAGGCCAGCTTGGACACCGGACTGCAGGACTTCTGACGTGGGCTTGGCTTAGGGTTGTTCAGGGCTTAAGGATGTTGGGGTTTAGTTTCCTTTGAGTCTGGGTTCAAAGGGTTTAGGGGTTACCAACAAAAGTGGGGTCCTAGACATAGCACGGCACCCTGAAAATCAGGACCCCCTTCGAAAGGAACCCTAATTTCGAGAACTACACAAGTTCTCAAGAGTGGTACGGATCCACGCTTCGGGACCTCGGGTTTGTGACTTTTTATACGGATGGGGGTGGGGGGGGTTGTGGGGGGGCCGTCCACCTTGAAAACCCAGAAGGCTTGCTCTCGGCGAATTTGCCCATACGTTTCACACCCCAAAAATCCTACCTAGTAGTCTGGCATGATGCCTCTTCTGAGGCAAACTATGGCAAACGAAGCCCTAAACCCTAAACCTCAAACTCCCTTATTCTGTGTGGTTTCTCCTTTAGGCCCATACGACTGCTTGACATGAGCTCCGGTAGTTCTTAGAGTGCCTACTCAGCGGGCCTTGCCTGCCTTTGTGCGAGAGTGAGCGACTAAACTTCCTTATTGTGGCACCCCCAATCCTGAAGGCACGGCTTGAAAGTGTTTAGGGCTCCCTACGCCCCCTAAACCCTAAACCCTAAACCCTGGATCGCGCGCGGCCCTCAGATCATGCAGCAGAAGCCCTAAACCCCAAGCCTTGGGATGCTCCCCCGAATACGAACAGTCCTTAGTAGGGATTATAGTGCGGGGGATTCTAGTAGGGGGTACTAGATTCCCTATCAAGGGCTGTTGTATAAGGGGGGGACATCCCAAACATAAACTCAAACCCTAAACCCCTAAACCCTCAACCCCCAAAACTACAAAACCGCACATCCCAACCCTAAACCCCTCGACAAATCGACGAGCCACATAGCACGCAGGGGCTACGGTCCGAACTGCAGAGCTCCCTCCGTGAGGACATCTGGGGGTACCTTATTGGGGTTTAGGGTTTAGGGTTTCCAAAATTAAGGGTACCTTCCTGGGGTCCTTTGTGGGAATCCTACTATTTTGGGGTGTATATCCGGGGTCCCTTATCTTCGTAAACTCCCATCTGGGTTTAGGGCTTTGTTAAGGGCCGATTAAAGGGTCTAGGGTTTGGGGGTATAAGGGTCTATAAGCGTTTACAAAGGTTGATAAGGGATTCGAAGTGTCTAGAAGGGCTATTAGGAATCGTTTATGGGCATAGGGTTTAGGGGTTAGAGGCCTGGATTCACAGGGGTGTGTGTCGAACCGGCTTTCTGGTTGCAAAAGGCTTTAAGGGTTTTTCGCCCTCTTAGTCAGGGCTTGGTGTGGGAACCTTTTTTTGAGAGATAATGTTGGAGCCTGGTTTAACACAAACCTCCGTCTAAGCGTTGGCCACGTTTGCCAGTCGCGGTCGGCTTTGGCAGCCCCCCCCCCCCCCCTAAACCCTAAACACGCAGTCCAGACCCTGCAGTGCTGTGGCTAGTCGGGTGGCAGAAAGCCCAAAACCCTAAACCCTATAACTCTAGAACCCTCCTAACCCTAAACCCTATAACTCTAGAACCCTAAACCCCATAACTCTAGAACCCTAAACCCTACAACTCTAGAACCCTAAACCCTACAACTCTAGAACCCTAAACCCTATAACTCTAAAACCCTACAACTCTAGAACCCTAAGCCCTATAACTCTAGAACCCTAAACCCTAAACCCTAAACCCTGAACCCTAAACCCTAAACCCCATAAACCCTAAACCCCTTTTCCTCTTGGAGGAGCGCTTGAAGCGCGAGGTGAGCGGCTCGGGGAGGGAAGAGCAGATCCAAGCCTGGGAGGAGCAGCTGCCAGGGTTTAGGGTTTAGGGTTTAGGGTTTAGGGTTTAGGGTTTAGGGTTTAGGGTTTAGGGTTTAGGGTTAGGGTTTAGGGCTTAGGGCTTAGGGCTTAGGGCTTAGGGTTTAGGGTTTAGGGTTTAGGGGCTTTTTTGCGAAGACCACGTGTTAGCTTAAACAGCATACTCTTAGACAATTACGAAAATATAATTTCTAGGAATATAGGGTATTGCTTCTCGTCAAGAAGGCGAGGATAGGCGGGTGCCTGGCAGTCAGCAAGTCCAGCTTCAAAAGGGTTGCGGAGCGAGCTTCGTCAGGACTTTCACAAGCACTTGCGGCAATTCTACATGTCGCATACGACCCTGCCACTGGGCGACGCGCGTGTCTTGGTGATGCAATCAGTTCCGAGCTGCCATGTAAAACCAATGAGATAGTATGGTATTCTCTTACTTTACAAATATACGATCTAAACCATTATACTGTTATGCTACTATACTATCCTATTCTTATACTTGTTCTATTCATATATTTTTTGCTATAATACTATTATGCCACAATTCTACTACTGTACTCTCATCCGATGATACCATCATCCATCTAAGGACACACTGAGCCCGACATGACCATGGAGCGCCTTGCCGAGCTCCTGAGATGCTCGCAGGAGTCGGAGAGCCTCCATGCAGAGGTGCCTGAGATCTTGCGGTCGTCGCGCCTGTCTGACCTGTGAAGCAGGGTGGGGGTTTCCGAAACTAGGGGGTGCCTTTCTGGGGTCCCTCAGAATAAGGGGATCCTACTATCTTGGGGGTGGGCTTCTTGTGAAGCTTGGGCCCTTGCTCTGCGATGTGTAACTCGAGGCACCCAGATGCGCCAAATGTACAGCTTTGAGGATATGTGTTGGGGTCCGTTCGTGGACGGAGCAAGCTATCGTGTATTCATGCTTGCCTCGCAGTGGCCGTGCTTTGTGTTGAAGCTGAAGCTCAACTTCAGTACCCCAACATGTACTTGCGGGGATCGGCACCCATTCTGGAGAGTGGGTGTGCGACTGAAATTCGGTGGCGCTCAGCTTGGACTGAGCACAAATCTGCAGCGGCTTGCAGGGCAATTGCTTCACATGGTGAACTTTGGGTATGAGATCTTTCCTGAAGTGCATGTTGATCTTGTTTCGCGTGGCTGCTACTGCCGACGCTGAGCCGCGTGATGGGGTTATGAGATGCAATTCTTGGTGCTGAGCAAGATGGCCGGTGCCGGTGTCTGGGACCGCTGAGGGAAAGATCTGGGTGATCGCTGTGGGATTGTGGGTTTTATTCAGGCATCCCAACGGTTTTGAGATTTCAAGGCTGTCTCCAAGACGTTAAAATCGCAGGGCAGTAGTCAAAGAGTCTAACATGCAAAGGTGCCTGACTTAGATGACCAAAGCAGGGACGGTATTTCAGAGCACGAAAAAGGGGCCAGGAGGCTCAGCACAGACCTCAGAGACCTTGATGCCTTAGAGACCTTCAGAGAGGTGCGGAACTTAGGCTCAAATTCCCCTCCCAGCAGATGTCTACATATGGGGGTTTACGACGCTACGACAAGAAGGGACCCTACTAATATAGACCGACCCCCAAATAATAGGCCCCCAATAAGGTACTTGTAGCGTCCACAATGGGGTGATGCGTATTTCTCGCGACCTGATGTGAGGGAAGCCCGCCGCCAGTACCCCTAATATCGTAAAACCCTAAACCCTAAACCCCAACTTGTGCAGGCAGAGAGCCCACGCCAGGCCCAGGAGGCAACTGGGACTCGTTGTCTTGAACACTACATGTACTATAGGGGAGAATAGGGTTTAGGGTTTAGGGTTTATGGTTTAGGGCTACTATAGGGGCCTTAATAATTAGAATAGGGTTTTGGGGGTCATTAGAGTATATTTATAAAGGAGCCATAAGGGAAAATTCTATTAGTAATTATTCCGACCCCTATAGTAGGCAAGGCCTCTGCATAGTGTCCGAAATGCAAGGTGACAACGCGACCCCAGCCATAGCTACGGTAGACGCCACGCCTCACACGGACATCGGAGGTCTGTATAGGGGAAAAATCCACGAACGTGGCCTGAAGGCCGCGTCATGCGCTTGCAGATCTGAGGTCGAGATTTGCATCACTGCCCAGCCAGGAGCTGAAAGGGTTCAGACTGCGCAGGTGCTACAAGAGTATCAGCAAACTGCCCGAATACTTGAAGGTTTTGTTTGTGTGCAACCATGAAACCTGTCCGGAAGGATGAAAGCGAATCGTCCGTGCAGAAAGCTGCGGAGTGTAGATTTTGCAGTTACCAGCTGCCCATCGAGCTTTAACGCCCACGTCACTTAAGCCTTCCTGCACAATCTCCTTACTGTTGGGTAGTAGGGAATGAGGTTCCCTATATCCCCCTATAGAGGTACCCTATATCCTCCTATATCATATATACCCTCTACGGGATTATATAGGGTACCTCATTCCTTCATTCCTTACTAACCAACAGTAAGACTCAGATTCCTATCCCAAGGCCCGGTGAAGCCGAACTGCGGCTAAAAGTCCCGGTGACCTGGCAGACAGTTGTCAA